AATGCCACCATAGATATCACCATTTCTTAGGTTCAAACCAGGAATTCTCAAAATATCAAAATTGACAATCATCTGCGTTAAATTCTGTTATAAATAGAAAATTAAAGGTGATAGAGAAAAATGTTTCCCACAAAAGTTGATGATAATGAATCAAGATAACGTAATTCATAACCAAAGCCACCATAGATATCACTATTTCTTAGGTTCAATCCAAGAATTCTCAAAATATCAAAATTGACAATCATTTGTGTTAAATTCTGTTATAAGTAGAAAATTAAAGGTGATAGAGAAAAACGTTTCCCATAAAAATTGATAATAATGAATCAAGATAACGTAATCCATAACCAAACCCGCCATAGATATCACCATTTCTTAGGTTCAAGCCAAGAATTCTCAAAATATCAAAATTAACAATCATTTGCGTTAAATTCTGTTATAAGTAGAAAATTAAAGGTGATAGAGAAAAACGTTTCCCATAAAAATTGATAATAATGAATCAAGATAACGTAATTCATAACCAAAGCCACCATAGATATCACCATTTCTTAGGTTCAAGCCAAGAATTCTCAAAATATCAAAATTGACAATCATTTACGTTATTAATTAATCCCATAAAAATTAATAATACTGAATCTAAATAATGAATTTGGATGGATTAAGAATATTGTTTATTCATAACGTCATTCTACATCAGTTTTAGTAGTTACGTTATAGTTGATTTTATTAAGAAAAATCGCCAGATTTTGATATATTGTGATTTAAAAAGTTTTCATAAAAGATATATGTTTTAAAAAATAGCTAGTCTGGAATTTCTTCAAAGTAAACACCTAATTATAAAGTTATTTTGTTGCGAAAACTCGTTCTTATCTTTGCCTATTTTTCCAAGAAGGTCAATGTCAAGGCATTGATACATTTTTTTAATGTTTATATTTATTAATAGTTATTTATTACGTTAATCCTGAAAGAATCCACATCATTTCATCGAAATTTAAAACCAATCGAGAAAATTTCCATTCAAAATCATTTTAATATATTGACTTCAGAGGCAGGCGTATGCAATTAACATAAACGAATATTTTACAGAGTACGGGTTATCGCCTATTGTCCATTACACGTATATAATCTAAGGACAAAAGTGTCGATGGTGCACTAACATTGATTTACGGTTTCGCTCGCCGTCTCGCCGAAGCAGTAAAACCAACGCCTCATTGTCAGTGAACAGAATGAGTTTTCGGTCGGGCTGTAATAATAACAGATGGCACAAGGATGCGGTTTTTTATATTGCTTAGATAATTTTTCGTATCACAAATTCGTGGATAATCAGCGGAAGATCAAAGATTATCGCAATTTAACACAAATAATTTCTTTATTCTTATTAATCAACATGTTTACTCATTCATTTTGTGCTTTGTAAAGTAGCAACATCCCAAATGAATCATCATATACTCGAAACAAATTTTACCACACCGTGGACATTTGCTAAACAACACCATGAAACGTCAACAATTTAAAGCAACACCAATACCACCATATAAAGTAGCTGAAGAAGTTAGTGTTGAAGTTGGTTTACCAATTTGGGCAATTTATTTCACAACGATTTGTAAGACTTTTTAAGATTTCTTTCTCTCTTGTTATTTAATCGTTTTTAGTGACGGTGGTAATCATGTTGGGAATTTGCTTTTGTTGTATCCGCCGTTGCATCAATAAGAGAAGGGCAAACAACGACAAGAATGCTAAAAATGGGGAAGCTACTTTACAAAAGTTAACCAAAAATGCCGAAGAGTTAGAATAAGGTGAAAAAATAATCTTGTAAATTTAAAATAAAAAAATTAAACGAAAAAATCAATTATTTTTGGAATAAGTTGTTCATGACACATTTAATCTTCATTAAGTTTACTTTAAAGTGCTTCCTATTTCATCGTTATATCTCAATTAGTTTTTAAGATATGATTATTTAAAGTTCTATGTCATCTCATGCAGACTTGGGTTCAAAAAATCATAACAACCACGTTTATGAAAAGCAAGAAATTATTTATGGCAAATATAATCCTCATTAAATTTGCTTTAAAATGCTTCTTATTTCGTCGCTATATCTCAATTTGTTCTCAAGATACGACTATTTATTTTTAATTTTACAAATTCATAACAATTAAACATGCATGATTAGGTTCAAAAAATCATAACAACGATGTTTATGGAAATCAAGAAACTGTTTATGGCACATCTAATCTTCATTAAATTTACTTTAAAATGCTTCTTATTTCATCGTTATATCTCAATTCGTTTTTAAGATATGATTCTTTAAAGTTCTATTCTCCAAATTAATGATTAAACATTTAGACTTGGGTTCAAAAGATTATAACAACCACATTTATGGAAAGCAAGAAATTATTTATGGCATATTTAATCTTGATTAAATTTACTTTAAAATGCTTCTTATTTCATCGTTATATCTCAATTCGTTTTTAAGATATGATTATTTAAAATTCTATTCTCCAAATTAATGATTAAAAATGCAGACTTGGGTTCAAAAAATCATAACAACCACGTTTATGGAAAACAAGAAATTATTTATGGTACATTTAATCTTCATCAAGTTTACTTTAAAATGTTCCTTATTTCGTCGCTATATCTCAATTTGTTCTCAAGATACGACTATTTATTTTTAATTTTACAAATTCATAACAATTAAACATGCAGACTTGGGTTCAAAAAATCATAACAACCACGTTTATGGAAAACAAGAAATTATTTATGGCACATTTAATCTTTATTAAATTTACTTTAATATGCTTCTTATTTCGTCGCTATATCTCAATTTGTTCTCAAGATACGACTATTTATTTTTAATTTTACAAATTCATAACAATTAAACATGCCTGATTGGGTTCAAAAAATCATAACAACGGTATTTATGGAAAATAAGAATCTGTTTATGGCACATTTAATCTTCATTAAATTTACTTTAAAATGCTTCTTATTTCATCGTTATATCTCAATTCGTTTTTAAGATATGATTATTTAAAATTCTATTTTCCAAATTAATGATTAAACATGCAGACTTGGGTTCAAAAAATCATAACAACCACGTTTATGGAAAACAAGAAATTATTTATGGCACACTTAATCTTTATTAAATTTACTTTAAAATGCTTCTTATTTCATCGTTATATCTCAATTCGTTTTTAAGATATGATTCTTTAAAATTCTATTTTCCAAATTAATGATTAAAAATGCAGACTTGGGTTCAAAAAATCATAACAACCACGTTTATGGAAAACAAGAAATTATTTATGGCACACTTAATCTTCATTAAATTTACTTTAAAATGCTTCTTATTTCATCGTTATATCTTAATTCGTTTTTAAGATATGATTCTTTAAAATTCTATTTTCCAAATTAATGATTAAAAATGCAGACTTGGGTTCAAAAAATCATAACAACCACGTTTATGGAAAACAAGAAATTATTACACATTTAATCTTCATTAAATTTACTTTAAAATGCTTCTTATTTCGTCGCTATATCTCAATTTGTTTTCAAGATACGACTATTTAAATTTCAATTTTACAAATTCATAACAATTAAACATGCATAATTGGGTTCAAAAAATCATAACAACGATGTTTATGGAAAACAAGAATCTGTTTAAAGCGCATCAAATCTTCATTAAATTTATTTCAAAATGCCTCTTATTTTATGATTATATCTCAATTCGTTTTTAAGATATGATTCTTTAAAGTTCTATTCTCCAAATTAATGATTAAACATGCAGACTTGGGTTCAAAAAATCATAACAACCACGTTTATGGAAAACAAGAAATTATTTATGGCACATTTAATCTTTATTAAATTTACTTTAATATGCTTCTTATTTCGTCGCTATATCTCAATTTGTTCTCAAGATACGACTATTTATTTTTAATTTTACAAATTCATAACAATTAAACATGCCTGATTGGGTTCAAAAAATCATAACAACGGTATTTATGGAAAATAAGAATCTGTTTATGGCACATTTAATCTTCATTAAATTTACTTTAAAATGCTTCTTATTTCATCGTTATATCTCAATTCGTTTTTAAGATATGATTATTTAAAATTCTATTTTCCAAATTAATGATTAAACATGCAGACTTGGGTTCAAAAAATCATAACAACCACGTTTATGGAAAACAAGAAATTATTTATGGCACATTTAATCTTCATTAAATTTACTTTAAAATGCTTCTTATTTCATCGTTATATCTCAATTCGTTTTTAAGATATGATTATTTAAAATTCTATTTTCCAAATTAATGATTAAACATGCAGACTTGGGTTCAAAAAATCATAACAACCACGTTTATGGAAAACAAGAAATTATTTATGGCACACTTAATCTTCATTAAATTTACTTTAAAATGCTTCTTATTTCATCGTTATATCTCAATTCGTTTTTAAGATATGATTCTTTAAAATTCTATTTTCCAAATTAATGATTAAAAATGCAGACTTGGGTTCAAAAAATCATAACAACCACGTTTATGGAAAACAAGAAATTATTTATGGCACACTTAATCTTTATTAAATTTACTTTAAAATGCTTCTTATTTCATCGTTATATCTCAATTCGTTTTTAAGATATGATTCTTTAAAATTCTATTTTCCAAATTAATGATTAAAAATGCAGAGTTGGGTTCAAAAAATCATAACAACCACGTTTATGGAAAACAAGAAGTTATTTCTGGCACACTTAATCTTCATTAAATTTACTTTAAAATGCTTCTTATTTCGTCGCTATATCTCAATTTGTTCTCGAGATACGACTATTTAAATTTCAATTTTACAATTATTTCAATTCATAACAATTAAACATGCATGGTTGGGTTCAAAAAATCATAACAACCACGTTTATGGAAAGCAAGAAATTATTTATGGCACATTTAATCTTCATCAAATATGCTTTAAAATGCATCTTAAGTCTTCAAAATCTAACAAATCTTAGTATTTATGTTTATATGTAGAAACTAAGAACTTATTTATCGTTCTAAATAACTTTTTTTCTTTTGTAATATGCAAAAACACTAAATATTGGTCACCTCAAGTTTCAAACATTCTTGTTTTTCTTTATAACAACTTCGTCACCTCAAAAAAGTTAAGAAAATACATATTCTTCCAAGTTAGTTCACCATAAAGAGAATCAAGGAAAACGATTTACAAGAAATCTATTCTACAAATCACAAGTTATTTATGAAAAGTATTACGATCTTAACAAATCCGGATTAACCATAACATTTCTTCATACCGCTTTTCCCCTCGTACATTTCTGTATTATATATACTTATACAAAGTTTTTTGCGCTTCCCGAGCTCGCATGGAACGGCCGTTAATTGAAGTTGCGTTTGTACGGTGCTCACGCGTTATTAATCGTCCTAACCGTAACGAAATAATTAAATCCAGATCGGATTAGACGATTATAAACGCGAGATGCGTATTAGTAGATAAGAAATAGCCACTTCAGGATTATAATTGCGGTACACCTGGCGGTTAAGTCGATTTCGGTGGAAACGCGCCTTGGCCTAGACTTAAAATTCACGAAAATGCGATTATTGACCTTGATTTTTTCGCAACCAGCGGCGTTGTTGCCGCCGGTATGCGGCTGATGATGACGTAATTTGCGTGACTTTAGAGGTTGCCAAAAACGAGTGGCTAATTTTAGATTCGAAGAACACCTTTAAATTTAAGCCGAAGACACAAGGAACGACCTCGATTCTATTCACAAGTTAATCATAAAAAAAGGTATCTGAGTAGGGAATAGAAAGTAGTCGTCTAATAAAATCTATCTTAATCGAAGAGTCTATCTCTCTAGAAGCTATCTAAGAAAGGTTTAAAAGAGCCGTGCTTTCTAAACCTAATTAAACATGACTTGTTCCCCCGTGCCTTTTGTGCAGTACGAATAACGTTCAATTAAGTCGCCGCTCCGGCCAGTGGGTAACTGACGTTAATGATGATGCAGAAGGTGCTCTTGTAATCGTTTTTAAAAAAATCAAAACAACGCGTGTAAACAGAAAGATGACTTTGATATGGAACGAAGTTCCATCATCTAATTCAACATAAAATAGTCACGAATAGTTGTAGTCATTAAATTATTGCTAAAATACGTTCTCCGAATTAAATAATAATCCAGTCGATAACCTTGCGTAGTTAACATTCGCGAATTTGTCATTCGTTCACGGTCGAACTCGTGTTCTAAGCAATTCCTGTTTGCGAATTTGATTTCAAGGCTAGTTTGGTTCATTGACGCCGCAGGAACCCCCATTTAAAAGAGATAATCTAAATAGATTTTCGGCTGGTTTTGAAAGGCACAGATTTTTCCGCTATGGGTATTACGGTTATTATTATTCTTTGCCGATTTAAACATAATTCCATTCTCCACGTAAATAACTGATTAATTGCTCCGTTGGTTCGTAATCATCGGACCGTGGTGGATTGGAAATTCACATTACTCGTTTTTTTTTCTAACATCTCAAAGAATTTACCATAAAAAAATATTTGCATTTTATATTGTATCGCAACGGATTTCTTTTGCAACCTTTAAATCAATATTACCCTAAGTCTTTAACTTTTCTTAATATTCAGATTTTGGTTCAAAAAGCCATAACAACGGTGTTTGTGGAAAATAAGATGAAATTTGCTTTAAAATACTTTTTATTTCATCATTATATCTCAATTCGTTCTTAAGATACGAAGTGTTAAAGTCTAATTTTTCAAATTTATAATAACATGCAAATTTGGGTTCAAATAATCATAACAACGACATTTATGGAAAATAAGAATTTATTTATGGCAAATATAATCCT